GTAAATGGATTAAACACATTTTTGAAACTCAATTGGACCATATTGCCAAAGCCAGTAGAATTTAATTTTTATTTCAATTCCAAGAACGATAAAAACATGAAATTAAAAAATTTAAATCATGACTTCATTATAAAATGCATAATTCCCATAGTTTTAAAATAGAACAATTGTCTTTTATTTTTTTTATTACCTGGTGTCCACAACGTTCGCACAATTTTTGCGTCCCTACTGACAGTTGTATAAACTGTCAACCCCATATATCTTATGTCATTTTCTAACATCACAGCATGCCCAACATGCAATAAAACAAAGAATGTATAAGTGTTTATGACATATATGTTATAATTAGTTATAAATATATACATAAAATGGGGTTGTTTGTGGGGAAGAAATCGTAATTTCTTTCGGCAAGATGATATAGTGCTAGTTGGACTAGAAAAACACAGAAATTTGTAGAAATGTTTGATTGCAGGGTATAGTATTCTTCAAGTTCTCAATCGACAGACGATCGAGAATATCAATTATAGTATATCAAAAGGCAAGTCACTGTGACATAATAAAATTACAATGCTTAACATATGAATTAAAAATTTATTATAAAATAAAATGAGTATTTTAAAAATACATATTCTATCGATTTAGGTTCTGCAAAGAGAACCTCGAGATGCCAACTATCTTCATCCTCCATGAACATTTTAACTCATTAAAAAACATATTTATCATAAAAAATCACCAAAATTACATTTAAAACATAACCCCACAAAAAAAAAAAAATAGAGTCTGCAAGTCCTAATTAACGTCTTCCTAGTCCCTTATTTATAGAAGTTGAAAAGTTGTGTCTTGAACAAACAACCCTTTTGAACCTGCAGTTTAACAGTCAATTGCTAGATTCTAAAAGATGCCACATATTGTGCACAGAAGAGCCCGAGAAAAATAAATAAATAATAGCATGGAAGACGTTAATCGGAACTTGCAGACTATTTTTTTTGTGGGGTCTATATGCTTTAGATGTGCTTTTGGTGATTTTTTTTT